GAAAACAACATGGCAACAAAGAGCTTCGGTCTAAAAACAAGTTTTAGTCCTTCTGCCCCTGGAGGGTGGAAAGAGATCCGACTTCCTATAAAGAGCGTTTGGCTGTTTATGGGAAACCGCTAAAAAAAAAAAAAAAAAAAAGGATCCTTTTGCTTTTTCCAATTAAACAGTAAAATATATTTTCCTCTGGAATTCCAATTAATTACTGTCGTGTTAACACAAGCAGAGCAGGGTCAGGCCCCCTCTCTGCAAGGCCCAGTTACTGTTGGAGTAAAGACTGTAGACATGCGGCCCCCATACTGGACCACCATGGTGGGGGGTCAAGAAACGACAGGAAAGCGTTCAGTGGGAGGAGATGCAGCAGCTGCAGCGGGACGCGCCAAGAGCCTCATGAGAACAGATGAGATACATCTGCTTCAACCTTTATATCATTAAAACTCCTTATTTCCATGAAATGACCACAGCACAGAGGCGGTTCTAGACCAAATGTAGCAGGGGGCCAGGAGGGGGCCAGGAGGGGGCCGGCGTGTTTTCATGGAAGGACAGAAAAGCATGAGCCAAAAAACAGTGCAAATGATTCCAATATATTACGACAGAGATGAAAACTGGGATCATATATCAATACCACTGAAGCCATCACTTTATTGTTTTTAAATAATTACTAAAATAGAATTTGTAAAGAAAAAAATGAAATAGATCAGAGGTCTTCAATGTTTTCCAGGCCAAGGACCCCAAACTGATGGCTAGATGGAGCGGGGACGCCCTAATTATATATATTCTATGAAACACTGTTCTATCAAACTGGTCCAGATGGAGTAATGTAACTAAAGTAATCCCTCCCTGGGATGATTAAAGTATTTCTGCTTCCTGGTTGATGGGACAGGTGTTGTGAATGAAACGGTGCCCAGCTTGAAAGAGCTCCTGTGTGTCTCTGAATGTGAGCATTGATGACTGAAAGACATCTTCTGCCTCCATTTATCTGTTTACTAGTCTGTTGGATTCATGTTAACGTGGATTTTAGGGCTGCAACTAACGATTATTTTAAAAATCGATGAATTGGACGATTATTTTTTCGATTAATCGATGAATCGGACAAAAAATATTTTTTATATTAACCTCTTTATTCCAAAATAAACATTATAGACAGAACAAACAAGCACACAAGTACAGGTTGCTCATTAACTGTACTGGTGCAATATGAAAAATAAATGTTTCTGTTAAAACTACGCAAACTTACATGAGAAATGTAGCTGTACATCCACAAAATATAGGGTACTTTGTTTCATAAAGCGCAAAAAGACATTTTTGTTTTTAAAAGCCTCTAAGGGGTTCAAACAATAGGCCCCCCCATTTCAACAAATGAGGTTTTTTTTAGACTAGAGAGTTCTGCCTTTTAAGACAGGAAAGTATAGCAGTTAAAGTTGCTACTTGAGAAAATACTGAACCATAGAGATAAAAATAGCCTGTGATTCAAATTATAAATTGTATTTGGAATAAAAATGAGAGAACTAGGGGTGCTAAAAAACACATCCTCCAAAGACAGATATTTACATGGGAATGTGGCAGATAATTAATTGACATATTACTGATCTTGCTGGATTTTATTCTGCTTTACTTCCATAAATTGCAGGATCTTCTTTACTTTATCTTTGCCAGAAGATTTAAACTTTAAAAGTCTTGCCCTCATAATTTGCAAGTTAATTTATTTATAAAGTAAATGTAAACGCTGCTTAAGCTAATTCAAATGAAATGAAAAGTAAAATAAGTAGCCAACCTTATCACTGTCTGTAACCTACTAACACGGTAAGGAAAGCATCAGATGAGCTACCTGAGAAACTAACGTTACGTTTCCCCCACTTTAAAACCAAACAAACATGGTGGTTCCGTGCCATGTTAATTTCTTTTGAAAAAAGTTGCATGTTATCACTTTTTTCGCTTTACAAAGCGCAGGCTATTTTTATTATTGTGATCAATTTGCGCCGTCAATCCCGGTGTATGCGCGCTTCATTTGCAGTCTGGACGCTGAGGCTCTGAATGAGAGGGACTCCTGCGGGAAAACGCGGTTGGGGTGGGGGAGGCGCCCCACGGCAGAGTAGGAACATGCATGCTTTCACGTAAGAGTCTCCAAAAGCCGCCAGTGACACCGAAAAAAGTCGCCAGATTTGTCGCTAGTCGCTTTTTTGAAAAATAGTCGCTGGAGGGGTCTGAAAAGTCGCGGAGTTGGCAACACTGCACCTGCGGCGCTGACTCGCTCTGCCGTATTTTTTTTTCTTCCTCTTTCAGTCAAGAGGCAGTGATGACGGCGCGGCAGATGACGCAATAATCGCGCGACACAACTAATCGATGATGAAATTCGTTGCCAACGCTTTTAAAAGTCGATTTTTATCGATTCGTTGTTGCAGCCCTAGTGGATTTAAAGACATTTCAATTAGTGGAAATTAGTGGAATCAACCAAAACTTTCCTGAACCCCATGCAGTACCTCTGTGGAGCCCCTAGGGGTCGCAGACCCCCTGTTGAAGACCTCTGAAATGGATCCAAAGGACCAATCAGTAACCATGTCTGTTCCAGCGCATATATGACAGGGGTCAGAACATGATCTACAGGGGCACTGGCCCCCGTTGGCCCCTGTCTAGAACCGCCCATGCACCCAGCACTAACATTTCAACAAATATTCACACTTTTAACACTTGAGAGAATGATTTTACCATTTGCTTCATAGTATATTTACCATCAGAAATATCAAACTAAGGAACTTTATATTGAAACCAAGATTAGCACTATCTCCTTTATTATTATTATTATACTTTTTTTTTTTTTTTACTGAGATTTAAATAGAAATGTGACCAAAAAGTCAAAAGCAAAAAAAAAAAAAAAATAAGCATTCATTCATGAATTACAATAAAATAACTCCTGGCTTCCAGAAAAAGGCATGCAGCTAGTCCGGACTAAACATGTGACTAAAACTGTTTTTATTTGGTCTAGTAGATCCCAGCTCTTCTTTTCTGAGAATTCTTTCTCAGTTTACGGTAATATTTGCACCAACTGCAGGCAAAGAAAATATGCAGTAAAAGTGAAAATGTTTTATAAGCAAAAAAAAAACAGCTGAATTTGTTTCGCCTGCATAACATATTTATTACATTTTAGAAAAATGATCTAGAATTAAATTCCCTGTTTTTATCAGACAGGTTTATATTATAGTAATGAGCATACAAAATATGAATCTGTTAATTATTTAACTAAACATTAAACTTTAGTTGTGAACTGATCCAATAATCTTTTTTAAGATTATTGGATCATAAAAGTCTTGGCCTATCCCTGATCTGTCTGGTATTTCAGGTTTACTGTCGCTGTTGCACCAGATTCTGTAACTGGATCATTTCTAATAATTATTAAACTTTCATAGCTTGAAAACAACTTTTTTTATTTTTATTAATAAAGAACAAACAACTATATGCAAATGTTAATGTGAGTTAAGTGGTTAGAGCAGCACTCTGTGCTCTGAGAAAGTTGCAAGTATCTGGTTGGATCCCCACAGCCGGGGTCCCTGAGCAAGACCCTAAACCCCCCACTGCTCCCCAAGGGGAGGGGTTAAATGCAGACGGTGAATTTCCCCAAGCTGGGACAATAAAGATATCTAATTTTTCTTTTTTATGGTGCACATTGTATTTTATTTTTTCTTTGCTGCAGCAAAAAAAAAAAAACATTGTTGTTTTATCATATTATACCAGTGTTGCCTTGTCTGTATATACTTAATGTATATTTTTTATATATTTTTAAATATTTTTTATACTTTGTATTCTTTTTTTCCTACTGCACTGTTGATGCAACGCTGCAATTTCCCCACTGTGGGACAAATAAAGGATTATCTTATCTTATATTAGAATAAAAAATTGTTTTTTTTAAATTTCAGATTGTTTTCATGTTTCATATTAAAATGAAAAACGGTCCATCTTGGATGTTTACAGTAACAGCAGAAGGTCTGCATGTAGAGCAGCTATTTAACCTTCAGTTCAGTTTTATATTTAGGTCACATATTAAGAACCAGTTTCCTCTGTTAGAGCTATTTATTCTTTATTTCTTTATCCATTTGAATTGTGTTCATTATTTCCTAAATGTATATTTTTTTGTATTATTTACAGAGTTTATTTGCAGGTTAATAATTGTTGATTCTATTTATCTTTGTTTTATTATTTTTATTTATTGATTATTCTCCTGAGGAAAGACAGGAAGTGATGCAGATCACTTCCTGTTAGTGGCGGTTTGGGGCCTCTGGTCTTTTTGGACATTGAACCTGTTGCCTGCAGACAGAAACTTGACCCCGGGGCCTCAGCAGGCTGATTGGTTTGGATTTGCAAACACTCTGCACTACATGAAAATCACAAACAACAAAACTATTATTAAAAGCAGAAATAATCCTTTCAGAATAAAATTTGATTTTTTTCCTTTGCAGAAAAAAAATGATATTTGAATGTTTCCAGTAACAGCAGCAGGTTTGCATGCAGAGCAGCTATTTAACCTTGAGTACTATTTTATATTTAGGTCACATATTAAGTTTCCAACACATGAAAATCACAAACAACATTAAACTTTTATCAAAGCAAATGTAATCCTTTCAAAACAACAACATTTGCATTTTGTATTTGAATGAATTTAAATAAAATATATATAAAATGAGCTCATCTATCACACCTGGCGGCAGATGGTGACATTTTAAACGTGGTAAAATGTTTGAAAAACAAAGAGTGAAACTGAGGTTTATATCTGGGATCTTAGAAGTTATAAAGTTTTAAGTTTAATCAAAACAAGAAGCGAAGCTTTAACTGAAACAAAAAGCGACTTTTTTCCCCCTCCAACTGTGTGAAATAAAGAGCTTGTTCCGCCTGTTGGTCTGTCTCGGCTTTAAATCCATGGCCCCATGTAGGGGCCCCATGTAGGGCCCCATGGGGGCCCCTGTGACTCATGCCGCAGCGAGGTGTCCTATAGAAGGTTAATCACTCACCATAAAGGCTCCTCCGCCGCTCAGAGACGCAGAGAACAAGTGGCGGCTGCGACACGAAGCAACATTCTTTATCTAACTTTCACTTTCGATATGAGTAAGAACAGCCTAAAGGGAGGGGCTTAGGCTTCTCTCATGTCAATCAAATGGAGATGGACCAGTGGCGGTTCCAGACCAAATGTACCAGGGGGCCAGGAGGGGGCCAGAAAAGCATGAAATAAAAAACAGGACAAGGGATTCATATATATTAAGATAGATGCATGAAGGGAAATTTCTATTCAATAAGGATTTAATCAATAATTAGGTTTAATAAAAATTTATATCTTATTAGTTCTAGTCTAGAAGTTTAGGTTTCTATAAAACCTGAAGTAGAACTCTATGGGGCGCCGTTTGTAAAGTGAAGCAGTCAAAATTAGGAGCAATATTTATGGTTATTTAGCGTTTTTAAGAGAAAAATAAGGGTTTATTTTTTTCAAAGTCATTTTTTCACTAGTCCATCCATCCATCCATCCTCCTCCGCTTATCCGGGGTCGGGTCGCGGGGGCAGCAGCCTAAGAAGGGAGGCCCAGACTTCCCTCTCCCCAGCCACTTCTTCTAGCCCCTCAGGAGGAACCCCAAGGCGTGCCCAGGCCAGCCGAGAAACAGTCTCTCCAGCGTGTCCTGGGTCTTCCCCGGGGGCCTCCTCCTTCACCAGGAAGGTGTCCATGAGGCATCCTAACCAGATGCCCGAGCCATCTCAACTGGCTCCTCTCGACGTGGAGGAGCAGCGGCTCTACTCCGAGTCCCTCTCGGATGACCGAGCTTCTCACCCTATCTCTAGTCATTCATTCATTTATAAAAATCTTATTTTGTTAAATAAATATTTATTTAGCAAATTAAATATTTAATTTGAAACTAAATACGTCTTTAAAGTCGTAGGGAAATGGTATTTAAATATCAAATCATTCTGGCTTAAACATGTATATGAATGTTCTCTTTATCAGACCATGTTGTTCCAAAATGTAAAAAAATTCTATAAAAAAAAAATCTGTCTTAAAATCTGTGGGGGGTTTTTCCCGTTATTTTCTGCAGGCCAGTTAGTTCTACGTCAGCCTGAACACCTAAATTCAGCCAATCATATATCAACGCTCATCTGTCAATCACATTCTTTCAGTCATAGCATCTTGATTCATGTGTCGCAGCTAATATACGCAACGGTTGAAATAAGAATTATTTCTGAAAAAGTTTTCTAAAAAAAGGCTAACGCTAACCAAACATTTCTACTTAAGTAAAATAACAAAGTATTGGTAATTTTTTACTAACGACAATGGGACGGTTCTTCTCTCCAACTGAAAAGGAAAGCAGTCGTATCTATGGCAACCACTGATCTCCATTTATTCACTGGATTGGCGATTGCATGAAAAAAGTGAAGCCTCCGTCCGCCATATTGGTACTCCCCTCTCCCACAGAGACGCTCAGTCAAAATGCCTCCCTGTGCAGCATTTAGCTGCTAAAACTAGGGATGCACGATATTGGGATTTTGGCCGATATCCGATATGCCGATATTTTAAAACTCATGTAGCCGATAACCGATGTCGATACCGATGTTAAAGCTGGACAAAAATAAGTAGTCATCGAAAATAGCAGTTTTTTTATCCATTTCTGACACTTTGAAAAATAATATACTCAAATATATTTTCATATGCTGATATCAAAATGATTTTTAAAAACGCGGTATCGATCTATTTTACTTTCAAAATCTGGTGAAATTTCATCGTTCTGTTACAAACTCTCGTGATATTTTGCAAATTCTTGTGAGATTTTGTTAGTAAAATAGATCGATACCGCGTCAATATATCAACATATAAAAATATGGCAACATTTGGTGAATTTTCGGGGGATTTCGTAGCATAACGATGACATATAGCAATATTTCATTAGTGAAAGAGATTGATATGGTGTTTTTAAATGGCAATATATCAGCATATGAAGATATTGGGATATTTTAATGGATCAATATTTTTTCTCTCGTCTTTAGAAGTTTTTAAGTCTGTAAAAAAGAAGTTTTTGAGGAAGAAGAAGTAGTATCTTTTTTTTTTTTTAGACTTTAGAAACTCAGAAGCTGATCAAATATCGGGTTAAATATCGGTGGGGTGGCCGATGTCCGATATTCAGTTTTAAGGCTGATACCGATAGGGCGCCGATTATATCCTGCATCTCTAGCTAAAACCAGCAGTTTTCTGTCTGCAGGAAGACGTTCCACTGGTCAATTCACAGTCAGTGGATGAACTAACCAATAAATCCATCTATAGCCGATGGATCCTATAGTTTAGTCTGCAGACTAACATTAGTCTCAGATTGACTGGAAGACATTGACTGAGTTAGACACTGACATTGGGTCTAATGTTAGAAAACAGAAAGTAGAGGAAATAGAAAGTCATTCACTGTGAAATAGTAAAGTAGTAAAATTCCTGTGTTTTTTTTTTATCAATGTAAAATATTTCTACACATGAGAAATAAATACCTTTATGTTACATGTACATCATCAGTTTAGCACTTTTGGCTCATCTGTATTATTCTGCTCCATTAACAGATTAATTTTATTGTGATGGATTTGTTTAATATGTTATATTACATGATTTATAGACTTCATTGACTTCATAAGGACTATGTTATGAGATGTGACTATTATTTTTTTAATTATAGGTTACAGTATTCTACTGCTGCTATGAAACAGCCAGTCTGTGTCAAAGTGAAAATGAGAGCATCATCGTTGTTCAATGCTGTAGTGCACATATTGTTTACATTGTGACCAGTCTGACTAGGGAGTACCAAAATGGCGGCCGGTGGCTTCACTTCAACCCCGTATTACCAACGGGCAATCAGCAATCCAGTGAATAAATAGAGATCAGTGATGGAAATACAGTGATGTGTGTGTAGCTGTATCTGTGTGAGACAGATAACCTAAAGCTATAGTGGAGGATGTTCTTCTTCCGGGTGGATCATCTCAATAAGTGGTTCTCCTGACTGTCAATCATTCTGGTGATAGGTTTGTAAGGCCATCCTGCATGCTTGTCCCCATTTGACATGGTGGAAAAACTGCAAATCTTTTGGAAAGTAAGCTTGTATGAACGATGCAAACAGCAAACAGTGCTTTCAGGAGGAGAAAGGGGCTCGTGCACACTCTCGCACGACTTTAATAGACGTTCCCTCTTGTGAGCGTGTACAGGGTAGTGCATTTGTTTTAAAGTGGAGAGGGCGGGTCTTGAAAAAATTGCTAAAACCCTCGACTATCCCGTCAAAGTTTTCCTGGGGTAGTGAATACTTTAAATTATGGGGGGAAAATAAAACAAAAATCTGTGAAGGTACATTAGAAAAAAGTGATGAGTGTAACAAAGCATAGAATTAGAGAAAAAACCCTTAATAAAATCAGATCTCTTCAAAAATTCACGAAAATTCACCACTATACCTTTAACATTAAACATTTGCCCCTTTCTAAAAAAAAAAAATACACGGTCAAATAAAATTATTTCAAAGAGGACCTTCCCCTTTGAAATTAATTACGTTTTTTTTCTTATACCTAAGTTGTGATTTTCTGTCAGTGTGATGAAGATGCAGCGAACCAGAGGAACTTACATTTAGAGAACAGGTTTCCTATCAGATCTCTGTTACACCTGAGCTGACGGAGACTCGTTATTTCAGGGCTGGACAGTCCACTCGCCCTACCCACGTCTGGGTTTGGGACGGCACTTCATGTGGTGGAACCTCTGGAAGAACGCCCACATGAGGGGGAGTCAGGGGCCGGATTGGGCCCCAGAGTTCCTTCCTTGTGGAGTTCAAGTACCTTAGGGTCACAGGTGACGGGAGATCGATGACAGATTGCTGCGAATGCTGCAAATAATCACCCACTTCCACCCAGATAACCCACTCTCACATTAAACTCAAGAGTTAAAGAAATTTGTTCAAGTTGTTCAATAAACAAGTAATTTTCATGTGAATGTGCTTTACTGGAGGCATCCATGTTTGTCAAAGAACACTACTGCCACCTACTGGTTAGTGACATTGTCACTGTGCGGTATCGGCTGTTGATCAAGTCCCAGTGCTGTATCTGGTGTTTGTCACAACGCGCTATTATCCAAGTCATCTTGAAAACATTCTTCTTCCAAATGTTGGCTACATATTACGGGTTTTTTCTCTTCTTCACTTTTACCCGATGTATTCCAGCATCCAGCTGCCATGCACGTGGGCATTGTCAGTTTCACTATAGCTCTGGTGAATTTCAATCAGGGGTGGATTTAGGAAATGTGGGGCCCTAGGCAAAGACAAGCCTGTCCTACCAATCTACTCGCTCTGGAGAGCAGAGTTCGCTGCTTTTAGATGTTGTCTCCAAAGTCTCCAGTAGCAGAAAAAAAGTCTCTAGATTTGGCGCTAGGAGCTTTTTAGAAATCAAAGTGCTAGAGGGGTCTGAAAAGTGGCTAAATATAGCGACTAAAGCGCTAAGTTGGCAACACTGCTCTTTGCATGGTTTGTTTTCAAATGGTTTGCTGCTGTCTGTTTGGACCTTTCTGAACATGTGCAGCAAATGGACTGATCCAATATGGCGCAACACTCACTTAATGTTAGTGTTGCACTGATACCAGTATCAGGCGGGGCCCCGATCCAGCACCAACATGGTGATATCGGTATCGGTGAGTACCAACAAATAGGGCACCGTTTTGAGAGCCTAAAGTTTATTCAACTATTGTCACCCATTCCAGGTAGGCAATAAAAGGTTCTATTGGATTCACTTTGTTTTAGTTTTTTCCTGCTTCACAAAGGTAGGCAGCAGCTTGACATGAAGCCATGATGGAAATTAATCAAACAAATGGTATCGGCCGATACTGCACAGCCAGGTATCGGGGCCAAAAAATGGCATCGGTGCAACACTACTTCTTATTATCAGCGTTCTGATGCCGTTTTACGGAAAGTATTTTGATCTAAAACATTATTAATGTGCACTAATAAGGAATATATTAACCATACATGTAAACAGAGGTTTATACTAGGCAATACTAGGCAGTTGCCTAGTATTGCCTAATGGTAAATCCCCCCTGACTGTGTGCCACCCTATTGTTTTGCTGCTATGCTTCCTGTATTGAAAGATTCAATCTGCTAGTTTCAGTTTTTATTTAATTGTTATTATGTGTCATCAGACAGAAATGAATCAGTATTTAAAAAGAATTTTGTCTCAAAACAGGAAGGGGGCTTTGACATATTTGACATATGTGAAGAAACCAGTTTAGAAGCAAACTGGGACAGTTTCAGTTTGCCGTACGAACGCAGCCAAACTTCTGAAAGTTCTTTAAATCTGAAATGATTCCATCCTGTTCAATAAATGATCAGTGTTTTTAATTCAGAGCAATTTTCATGTGAATGTGCTTTACTGGAGGCACCCATGTTTGTCAAAGAACACTACTGCCACCTACTGGTTAGTGACATTGTCACGGTGCGGTATCGGCTGTTGATCAAGTCCCAGTGCTGTATCTGGTGTTTGTCACAACGCGCTATTATCCAAGTCATCTTGAAAACATTCTTCTTCCAAATGTTGGCTACATATTACGGGTTTTTTCTCTGGCCAGAAGTTCGATGGCAAATCCTCCCTCTTCAAGTTGGCGATCCAACGACCAACCCGTCCGTGGAGGATCAGGGATCAGAAAGGTGGAATAACTCTTTTTTTCCACTTTTACCCGATGTATTCCAGCATCCAGCTGCCATGCACGTGGGCATTGTCAGTTTCACTATAGCTCTGGTGAATTTCAATGGTGAAGTCCTCTGGAAATCTTCAATAATTGTTGTTGATTGCAGATGTGTCTAGTAGTTCCCATTGATTTAGCTTGGAAAGCGGGGAGAATGGCGCTAGGCTTACCGCACCGTGACGTCACTGCTGGAAGATGGCAGGAGGGAGGGGCTACTAGATTTGGGCAAAGATGGCCGCTCCCAGACTCATTGATCATGATGAAAATAATTTTTATTTTTTTACTGATTAACGCTAAATTCATTAAATCACTGCAAACGTTTTAGTTTTAGGTATAATTGTTTTATGTTTTTTAGATCTACATCTAAAGCTCACTCTCCTAATTATTAATCCCTTAAATAAAGAGACTCGACAATAATCCATCTGGTTTTATTGACCTACACTGATAACCTGCTATTCATTCTTAAAGGTGCGTCTCTGTGGAAAAAAACAAACTAAGTGAATCCTAAACGCAGAGAACAAATATCTCTATATACTCATTTTAAATTTTACATCTTACCTGTAGCTCAGATTGAAACACATACTTCAGGTACGACTAAAGTGTTGATATAGATTAAACAATGAAAAGAATTAGAGACTTAGTGTAAAACCACAGAATAGTTTCACTTCAGTTCAGGACTGTAGAAAAACACGGAGGCTGAAAAGGAAAACTGTCCTAAAAATAGCAAAGAAATTTTTAAAAATATTCCCTCTTGGTGTTTAAAATTCCCGGACTCAGTCATTGTGACAAAAGTTTTTTTCTTTTTGTACAGATTAACGCTAATTTTAGGTATAGATAATGATCCATTGCTTACCGGCCGGACTTTCCCTTTAACCAAAATATCAAAATCAATAAAGCAGACAGAAAAAACAATTCATGGTCAAAACTGATCTTTAATGGTCAGTTCCATTTGTGCCATTTCATCAATTCAGATTTCTGCAGTGACTTCCATCCAGCATGACCAGTTTGTTTAGGATGCAAACAGAAACGTCTCACATGAGAAATGCTGAAAAATAAACGCATCACAGGAAACGTCGTGTATCGAAAATGTTTGGCTGTTTTTTTTGTTTTTCCTTGAATGACAGCTGATGGACACACAGGACTGAATACTTTCACTTAAGATGTACAAAACGATTGTTCTCGTATTTTACGGAGCGGGAAAAACGCGAGATGAAGCGGGTGAGAGGAAGGCCGGGCTGTCGTAAGGTCACTTTTCAAATCTAAGATACGCTTAGAAGTCAGGACCAAGAACACCTAAAAAAAAATCTGGGTGTTTCAGGGGATTAGCGGTGTGGCGCCGTTCAGGTCGAGCTGATGAGTGAAACGTGGAGAAAAGGGCTACGATGATCTAAGTGTGATTAAAAAAATCAAATCCGTTTATTTTTAAATCACACGGGATGAAAAGTTCCTCCTACATCTTTTAGGGTCTAATCATGTGGCTTCAGCTGGGTTTTAATACTACATTCAGTACAAAGACTTCAACTTCATGCAACAAACATACAACAAAGATTTTACTAATAAAAAAAAATTAAAAAAAGAGGCTAAATTAATCTAAGAAAATCTACAGAGTAAAGTTTTCCTTGCATTCATACAGACCAGACCAGCATGCATGATGGGAGGGAAAGAAAAAACGGTGGACGGCGGGTGTTACTGCGATATTCAACGTGACGGAGGACGATTTATGACGCTGTAAAAAAAAAAGAAAAAAAAGTGAGCTTTGCACCGTTTGCGGCTTCACTAATTCCAGGGCAAAGGTCCCATCCAACCATAAAAAGAGGAGTACATAAAGTGCTTCTGTTAAAATAAACAAGAAAAACAGTACAAAAACAGCTTTCCAAAAACAGGTATCAAAACAATGCACTTGGGATATGGAGGAGGGAGGGGGGGGTCTGCTGGACTTTAGATGGTTCCTGAAGTTTGGGCGATTTCTGTTCTTTAGAGAAGAAAAAAAACAAAAAGATGAGTTCAAGATGGTGGGAGGCGAGGAGGGGGGAGGGAAGTCGTGGGGCATCTAGCCCAGGATGAGGCTGGATTTGCCCCCTGGGGGGTTCCGGCGGCAGGATGGTAGACCTGCGGCGGCTGCCTCGGCCTGCGGGGGCTCCTCATGCGGCTCTGGAGCAGCGTTAGCTTCTGCAGCGGCGTTTTCTGAACAGAGACAAACGTTACCGGGTTATTGGTTTCCATTTTTCTTAAATTCACTTTCATTTTTTTTACTTTATTTAACCCTATAATGCCAAATGTATCATATTTGATACGTACGGTTTCTGAAATGTTTTGCGTCTGACATCTTTTGCATAATTTAATGGTAAAAACAATCAGATATACCTGATAACAGAGGGCAGAAGACTACACAAAAAAATAATCTTGACTTATCGCATAGTAAGAAATTATTAATATGAAAAATGTATTTCTGTTTTTTCTTTTTACAAATATTGTTAAAAGGCCAAATAAGGAATTCAAACCAGAAAAAAGTAATTTTCTGTTTTGTTTTATTCTTGGATCGGGCTTTAAAGGGTTAAAGATTTGCTTAAAAATAAAATCCTCTACTCCTTCATTTCTTTACCACAAAAAAGCCAAACGAGATCATTCTGTTCTGACATGGTTCTATGGTCACATGACCAGCTGTAATAAGGCTGATCAGCCCAGCTAGGCGACGCGGTCAGACGTTCATCCAGGTTCGCTTCTGCCCCATCGGATGCTTCTAGAAACCGTCTACAATAAAGTCTTCCTCTCATAAGCCGCTCAGCTTTTAGATGCATCGCTGTGGATTAAAACCTTCATCAGATCAAAAGGTTTGACCAGTGGTGAGTGTTTGTTCCAGAGCTAGCATGCTAGCACTAGCCTAGGGTAAACTGACCTGAGATGTTTACTCACCTGGATTAGGCATTTAAACTGAAAGTATTTTGAATTGTAAAACAACACATGAGTTTAATGGTTATGATTAGGGATGCAGGATATAATGGGCCCCCTATCGGTATCGGCCTTAAAACTGAATATCGGACATCGGCCACCCCACCGATATTTAACCCGATATTTGATCAGCTTCTGAGTCTCTAAAGTCTAAAAAAAAAAAAATACTACTTCTTCTTCCTCAAAAACTTCTTTTTTACAGACTTAAAAACTTCTAAAGAAGAGGGAAAAATATTGATGCATTAAAATATCCCAATATCTTCATATGCTGATATATTGCCATTTAAAAACACCATATCAATCTCTTTTACTAATGAAATATTGCTATATGTCATCGTTATGCTACGAAATCCCCCGAAAATTCACCAAATGTTGCCATATTTTTATATGTTGATATATTGACGCGGTATCGATCTATTTTACTAACAAAATCTCACAAGAATTTGCAAAATATCACGAGAGTTTGTAACAGAACGATGAAATTTCACCAGATTTTGAAAGTAAAATAGATCGATACCGCGTTTTTAAAAATCAATTTGATATCAGCATATGAAAATATATTTGAGTATATTATTTTTCAAAGTGTCAGAAATGGATAACAAAACTGCTATTTTCAATGACTACTTATTTTTGTCCAGCTTTAACATCGGTGTCGATATCGGTTATCGGCTACATGAGTTTTAAAATATCGGCATATCGGATATCGGCCAAAATCCCAATATCGTGCATCCCTAGTTATAATATAAACTAATTTGACTGCAGTGATATTTTGATGGACAAAACCGAAGCTTGATCAATCAGGTTTTATCCAGGCCAGGTTTCCATTCCAGAATCCGTCTCCAGGACTCTGAATGTCTGCTGGATCACACTGGCGAGTTAGACCCATATGACGCCCCAAAGAAAACGGCGCTTCCTGTTACCTTCATCCAAACTAGGAACTGGTTGAATTCCTCGGATAAAGGAAAACAGCTTGGATTTCATCAACTGTCATGAACTGATTTGTCTGTAAATATAGTAAATATGAATACATATCACTAATTTTGCACTATTCTGTTGTCTGTCGGTGTGTTATCATTTCCTCCAGCAGTCCAACTTAAGGATTCTTTCTGATTTAATTTGTTTATTTAGTCAATCATGCTAATATTCATATTATATATGTTACACAAATCATAATTTCAAAGAGAACAAGAAGAAAATGACTTTAACCCCACGCCAGCTAACACGCCCTCCTGATTCCCGCCAAGCATCCTCGTAAAAACCCACTTCCTGGAAACAGACCGTGCAATTCCTCTCAAGACAAACCTAACTGGAACCACTCATTAAGAAAACAAATTAAAAAAAAGGTAAAATAAATCCTCATTGACGAATCGTCCACAACCAAATATGCATCTAATATAATGCAGACTCTGGGCTTCGTCTGCATCGTGTGTTTAAAATGATGAATACAGGAACAAGTGGAAGAGGAAAGAAGAAAATCTGCTGCTTACCATTATCACACGCAGAATTATCTCCATCCTAAAAAAAGAACAGAGATAAGAGATGAACAGTTTGCTCAGCAGTTAAAAAAAGCAAGAAGCAGGAAGAAACTCAGATGACTTCTTTATGAACTGAGCAGTGGCAGCTTTTCAGGAATGAATAACTCTAATTTTGATCAATAAAGTAACCATTACTCTCATTGATATTTTTTAAGTAGAGAACAACAATCATTCAGTTTGGTTTATAGATAATTTCCTGATTCCCATATTTTCTCAAACCCCTGAACTGATGGTTTGTTATTTTCTTTCTTTTTTCTGTCTTAATGTTGGCAGTGGGCTTTAGGCTGCCCTGCAAGGCTTTAAACCTGGGTTTAACCGGAGACTAAGCCATTCTCAAGCACATATCAAGGAGCTCATTTTGAGCCTGGATCCAGATTTATTGTTGATTCTGTTCATGGTGGAGAATCCTGCTTCACAGCAGCAGGTTGAGCCAAACATCCTCTAAATGTGCAGGGTCATCTTTGAGCACGCCATTTCACTTTTCTTTCACCAGTTCACCGCAGTTCTTCCAGCAGTCCACACTTTCTCTGCTCTCTTTTTCTCATGGTCTTCTCCTTCTTTCCCATCGCCCGGCTTGCCACAGGTTTGCCTGCTGTGTCTAAAAGTAGCAGCAGCAGCAACCCAGACTGACAGCTCATTGGCTCATTTGGATCACGTGCAGCCTGGAGCCGGACGCTCCCCAGGGCTTTACCGTATTAACAGGAGAAGAGGAGCAAGGGAAATTAGACACTGTTGTCGGACAACATTCGGTAATTAAAATGGTTTAAATAAGGTTGGGTCCGATTAGCCAGCAGGTGGGTCCGTATCCGGACCGCTAATCTAATGCTACGTTCACACCGGACACAGCAGAAGCAGCGAGTTTACATGCAAAGTCAATGGTTGACGCGCGTCTAGACGCAGCAAAAGGTCCCGCAGCACGTTTTGAGCAGCAGGCGCAGCGCGTCTGAGCAGCTGAAGCAGCGCGTCGGGAGCGTTTAAGCATCTGATGCGCGTGACGCGCCGCAAACGCGCTGCTGCTTGAGATGGATAAATTGAACTTTTGCTGCTCGACGCGCTGCATCAACCAATCAGAGAAGCTGATCTGGGAGCTGGCAGCGAGACAGACACATCGCTGATGACACAGAGCGCTGTGATCACTCCTCTGAAACAGTTTATTGACGCCTAAATTAACTTCAAATGCAGAAATCTGCCGGCAGAATATGTTGGCTTTTATTATCCTGCTGCCTGCAGTTTAGATTATTTTGATGAAAAACACCTACCAGCCGCCGCGGTGAACCGCGAGGAGGCGACCGGGCCAGAGGCTGCTGTGGAATGGGATTACTGGCAGTGCACAGCTGGTATTGAAGGCAGGATTGTAATCTGGATGAACTGACTGCAATGATTAAGTTTTCAGGTGGATTTTCTCACTTAAAAACATATTAAAACTACTTTATTCCCACTGATCACAGCAAATATAGCTGCAAGGCAAAGAAAGGATAGTGAAGCTCCGCCCAACGCGCGTCAGACACACTTTTGCACCAGCAGCCAGAGCAGCAAAGCTGCTTCAGCCGCGTGTCAGAACTCAGTGGTACAAGCAGCAAAAATGAAGCAGCAGACGTGATTTTGCTGCTCCTGCTGCGTCCGGTGTGAACGTAGCATAAGACCTCTGGTCGACAGGCTGCAGCCGTGTCCCAAATTCCTCGTTTTTCAGCCACTTTTGTTGAATTATTTTCCCATTCTCTAGCTTTTTCCTCCTAACATATGGCTTTATGATAAACTGGAAGCAGTTTTAGGCAAACATATCACAATATAATTTATCTGGCAAAATTGCTTTTATGAATGTTATTTTTTTATTTAGTAAAGCATTTTAAATGCCACAATAATCACATTTAATGAATTTTAATGCCAAATAATGCCTTAATTTAAAATATATAAATTTTATGACTTTTAATTATATTTGATGACCCGCAGAAACCCTGCTTTCATTGATAAACCCTAAAAATGTGACCCTAAAGGGTGATACCAGGGCTGTAGCAATTTATCGGATTAATTGATTATTGAAATAATAAAACAAAATTGCCCAAATAGCCAATGCAGCGCGTTTCACTCTAGTGAGCTTCATGTTCCTCTTCCACTGGATAGACGAGTCCCAGTAGACATGATGTAGACAATAAGACATAAGCCCAAACAGACGCATCTTTAGTCGTCTTTTGATTCCCTTTCAACATCCACTCTGTTCTACTGCCATGCCTACCATCCATTATTGTGAGGTTGATTAACCTTAACTTGCAGCTGCTTCACTAGGAGTAGCATCCTTTAGCTAGTGCTAAAGGCTGCTAAGGTTATAAAAACAAACAGCCTTTACTTTCCCTTCATATTCATATTTAAATGAACCCTTTGCTGCACAGGTGCAGCTCAGACTCTTGTCATCGACATTTTTCAGGACGTCATACATAATTTTAACCTTGTTTATCTGGAGAGTCCCTCATTAACCGTAAACAGAAACTGGAAAAACTGGATAAACTGGTGTAGTAGAAAAGGAAGAGCAGCATAATGGGAAGTGTGGGAGTGTGTTTGTGTTTAAAAGGAGTGCTGGATGCTGGATTTTGCCCTGCATGCAAATAGTCATTGGCTTTCACTGCCGCCACGTCCTTGGGCAAGGCATTTCACCGCCGGCAGACGGGAGTCAGATTCCCTGTGGAGTCATTTTACAGCAGCCGTGCTTCAATTAGTTTGCCTCACAGCCAGTGGCACCGACAGAAATGTTTCCCGGGGGGGGGGGGTCCAGATGGGCCACTAAAAATCTTGGGGTGGCCACTGAATGTAAAAGCCATAATTTCAGAGTTTGAATCGACTATTGTGGTAAACCTGACTGTAGAAATCAGAAAGACTTAAAGTCTTAATGAAGCGGCCGTTCCAACCGTCGCATTTCCGAATTCTCCCGATTGGTGCCCGACTTTACACGAGTGAATGAAGTCAATGGGATTGGTCGTTTATCAAGGGGGCGGGGTTGTTGTGGTGGAAGGTTCGCAAGCATGTTTGGTTGAAGCCGGTTTGTCGGAAGCATCTTGCTAACCAGTTAGCAACTTAGTGCTAGCAGGTTCCCAATGGGAAATTCCATTGGGACCAAGTAGCACTAAATTGGTGACTTAGAAACGACGCTGTCAAGGAACGCTATGGACAGCGGAAACATGCAAGAGGAGGAGAGTTTAGTGTCGGAGGTCGTGGATGAGTCTCCTCCGTCATCCATTTTTTATTTAGAGGAGGAAAGCGGGGACGAAGATGTTGTGGAAGAGGACGCCAGGGCGGCAGAAGCTTGGTTTGGTGTAGAAGGCTTCCAGCCGTACATGTTTGAGCCCTTGCCTCGCAACGCTGCCAGTTCTGTTAGCTCTACGCCTGCCGAAGACAGACGTCCATCCCCGTGAACACTGGGACGCAACTCAATGGGAAAGGAAAGGATTCTGATTTCAACCGTTGCGTATATTAGCTGCGACATATGAATCAAGATGCTATGGCCGAAAAAATTTGATTGACAGATGACCGTTGATATATGATTGGCCGAATTTAGGTGTTCAGGCTGACGGAGAACTAACTGGCTTAGAAATTTTCTAACTTTTGGGACAATATGGTCTGATAAAGAGTACCTTTATATACATGTTTAAGACAGACTGATTTGACATTTAAATATAATTTCCCTATGACTTAAAGTAAACACCTACTCATATCTTGGTTTATTGTGAGATTTTTAATGTTACGTTGCTGCTGTGCATAATGGAATGAAATGCTAAACTGATGCTACTACCATTTACACTGGCGAGTGGAGTGGCCAGTGGGTGGGCTAGAGCAGCGGTCCCCAACCGACGGGCCATGGACGGGTACCGGTCCGTCGGTCATTTGGTACCGGGCCGCACAGAAAAAAATAAATATGTATAATTTATCGACGATCAGAGTCTGAGTGATGTTTTATTTTGAAAAATACAAAACATTGGGGTATTCTCTCCCAATTCCATCAGTCGGTGCATCTGTGCCTCTTGCCACAGGTTAATTCAGTTCAAGACTCATCCTATCTATAACATCCTATCTTTGTGAAGCTGGATTTTCTGTGGTTACAGCGACGAAAACAAAGCTACGGAGCAGACTGGACATCAGGAGCACACTTCATGTGTCATTGTCTCCGATTACGCTTAGATGGGACCGGCTTGTTTCGGAGAGAAAAGTTCAGGGCTCCCACTAATTCAACATAACAGTGAGTTTTATTTATATGCTGTTTGTATTTGATTTTATACCAGTCATATCATTTTATTTGATCGTATTTACCCCCCACACTTTAAAGGGCGGTCCGTGAAAATATTATCTGACATATAACCGGTCTGTGGCGCAAAAAAGGTTGGGGACTGCTGGGCTAGAGCATTGCACAAGGTGGGCGGGGCCACACCTTGGTGACGCCACCGCCCACGGCAGCTGTGGCTACTCGCTACAGTGAGTGTGTGACTGAATGTTGTGTAAATCGCTTTAGACTCCATTATTTAGAAAAAGGTCACTTAGAAGTAGAGCTATTTATCATTTAAGTTAGAAAAACTACTCAGAAATGAACCAGGATCCTGATTTGGTGTATTTGAATCAGGTTTCTGTACAATATTCTGGTTCATTAAGTAAAAGGGCTAAAATGAAACCTAAAACCTGCCTAAACACAGAATACCACTTGTTTTATGGTGTTATTATGGTGTAATAAAACCACGATGGACCTTTGGACCATAGTTCAAAATGGCTCATTTGGAACAAACACTGAGCATCAAATAAACTTCGATCCACCGTGGAAACGTGGGACAGGCAGCACCGTGCCTCTAGGGAGTCAAATCCGTCCTAATTTTCACAAATACATGTGATTCATACGTGCACAGGGCAAGCTCCACACAAGCATAAAAAAAATCTGTCCCACAGAATAGCTGCAGATTTGTTGCTCATATAAAACAAACTGGAAACAAATAAATATTAAATTTT